ATTTTTAAAATTCACTGCGGATCGTTTTGTGTGACGTCAGCGCACGGAGTCTGTGGCAGAATGAAAATGGACGAAAATATGTAAATATTGGAAACAAGTGGCTCTGATATCGTTTTGTGGGAGTATTTATGCAAATCAAAACGACTAGATTGAAGAAACCAGCGGCTGCCAGGCAGGATACGCCCACATTTTCGAGAGATGGATAGAGAACAAGCTAACAAGAAAGTGATTTTTCCTACAATCAAGGGCCATAATTCAGGAAATTACAATTCGATATGCGCATATATCGAAAGGAACTGGGATCTTTGTGTTATAAACTTACATTTCAAGTTTCAACAAAATCGGATAAAAATTGTGACCTCTGTAGGGTCCACAACCTTGATATACCATATTTTTACGCTATTTGAGAACGAACAGCGGCCATTCTGTCTGTCAATTTTGGGGCGATTTTCACAAAATTCAAACTCAACTGTCCTTAAGGTGGAACGGTAATATAATAATACGGTTTTTTAAATCGGATAAAAATTATGACCTCTAATGGGTCCACAAGCTAAAAACATGATTTTTCGTACAATCAGGGGCCATAATTCAGGAAGTTACGGTCCAATATGGGCAAATATTGAAAGGAACCGAGATCTTTGGGTTATAAACTTATATTTCAAGTTTCAACAAAATCGGATAAAAATTGTGACCTCTATAGGGTCCACAACCTTGATGTACCATATTTTTACGCTATTTGAGAATGAACGGCGGCCATTTTGTCTGTCAATTTTTGGCCGATTTTCATGAAATTCAAACTCAGTCGTCCTTAGGGTGTAACGGTGATATAATAATACGTTTTTTTAAATCGGATAAAATTTATGACCTCTATAGGGTCCACAAGCTAAAAACGCGATTTTTCGTACAATCAGGGGCCATATTTCAGGAAATTACGGTCCGATATGCGCGAATATCGACAGGCACCGAGATCTTTGGGTTATAGACTTACATTTCAAGTTTCAACAAAATCGGATAAAAATTGTGACCTCTATAGGGTCCACAACCTTGATATACCATTTTCTTACGCTATTTGAGAACGAACGGCGGCCATTTTGTCTGTCAATTTTGGGCCGATTTTCACGAAATTCGAATTGAGTCGTCCCTAGGGTGTAACGGTGATATAATAATACGTTTTTTAAAATCGGGTAAAAATTATGACTTCTATAGGGTCCACAAGCTAAAAACGTGATTTTTCGTACAATCAGGGGTCATAATTCAGGAAGTTACGATCCGATATGAACGAATATCGAAAGGAACCGAGATCTTTGGGTTATAAACTTACATTTCAAGTCTCAACAAAATCGGATAAAAATTGTGACCCCTATAGGGTCCACAACCTTGATATACCATATTCTTACGCTATTTGGGAACGAATGGCGGCCGATTTTCACGAAATTCGAACTCAGTCATCCTTAGGATGTAACGGTGATATAACAGAACGGTTTTTTAAATCGGATGAAAATTATGACTTCTATAGGGTCCAGAAGCTAAAAACGTGATTTTTCGTACAATCAGGGGCCATAATTCAGGAAGTTACGGTCGGATATGCGCAAATATCGAAAGGAACTGAGATCTTTGGGTTATAAACTTACATTTCAAGTTTCAACAAAATCGGATAAAAATTGTGACCTCTATAGGGTCCACAAGCTAAAAACGTGATTGTTCGTACAAATATTCGTTACGCATCTCTGTGTTAAAATGATAATTATTTGGATTATTAGGAATGTGCTTAACCAGTTCTGTCACATATATAATAATGGCGGACACAAACATTGTCCTTGAACTCAATTGTATTCCATTTTACACACACAGTGGTGACGTGTATTTCCCATTGTTTCTTCAACGAAAGTAGGGGACTATTAAAATGGCTGCGTTCGTCCGTCCGTCCGTCTGTCTCACTAGAATTGTTTAAATAAACAATCCAAACCATTAGACAAAATTCGAAGTCCTAAAAAAACGGTATAGACAAAATAGTGTAATAAGGCAAAATAGCCCGTGTCTCCAAATGACGGATTTGCTGTGTTCACGAGTCATTATCACAATTTCACTCCATTTTCCAGACACAATGTTGATTTGTAGTTTCTATTGTTTAATGTGTCTTATTCAAACTGATACTGGTTATCAAACTGTATTACAGGAGAAATTCATTTTCCGATGTAAAAAAGCTGGGGGGGGGGAATAGGCTGCGTCAGGGGATACCCCAAATTAATTATAAAAAAAAGTTTGTACCATAAATAAATCTGTCATTTATTATGTTGTGTATATGTTTATGCGATATGAATCTATCTACCATACTGACATACGAATAAATCTATATATCTGTCATACTAGCATACAAATACATCTATCTATCATAATGACATACAAATTGTATTTGTGAAGGTGTGACGGAGAATAACCAGAATATGCTCCCTGTTCACTGTTGATATACAAGAACACGAGTCACATTATCAGTCAATGACCTCATGCAAACTTAATCCGGTCCTGATGACGCCATTGGCGATACAAATAGCGTCGGGATACATTGAATCGTAAAATTTACCGATGGCGGCTACCCACGACAACCATGTCCACACAATGGGAGCACATTATATTTATTAAGGGATATTAATAGTATTACAAAACAATATGTTAATTGTGAGATATTAATAATATTACAAAACATTATGTTAATTGTGAGATATTAATAGTATTACAAAACATTATGTTAATTGTGAGATATTAATAGTATTACAAAACATTGTGTTAATTGTGAGATATTAATAGTATTACAAAACATTGTGTTAATTGTGAGATATTAATAATATTACAAAACATTATGTTAATTGTGAGATATTAATAGTATTACAGAACATTATATTTATTATGAGATATTAATAGTATTTACAAAACATTATGTTAATTGTGAGATATTAATACTAGTTCAAAACATTATGTTAATTGTGAGATATAGTACTTACAAAACATTATGTTAATTGTGACATATTAATAGTATTTACAGAACATTATTTCCTTTACATTTTGTGACGAGTAAATATTTCAATAGCACTGATGTTATATTTTTAAATAAATACATACCACTATTGCTTGCATTGCATCCATTAAGGTAATAAAAATTTGAATATGGAAACAGGCGAAACGTAGATAAGCAATCAACTCTCCAGATGTATTTCACTGTGTTGCAACATAAGATAATTACAATAATAAGATGAATGTATGCCAGTACACAGACAGACTATAAACTATGAATTATACTATAAACCCTGTAAGTTTGCCCGCATTTATCTGATTGTAAATACTACATCTAGGACGGATTCAACTGTTGTTTTACTAGTTGGACATGGAATCAAATCATACAGCAGAAATGGAATCAAATCATACAACAGGACTGGATAATCTGGCCTTTGATCCGGGTATTAAACATGGAGACAAAGGTACGAAATTTATATGCGGAATGGCCAATAGTTTAATAGCCCTCCTCACGTGAATGGCCACTGTTTTGATGTAAGTTTTACTCAGTGACTAATCGTTTAATGGGACCATTGGTCATCTAACTGTACAGAAACGGGAAATCATAGCCGCTAGTGGTGGTATTTGGCTTTAGTGTTTTTGATTCAGTTCAATCCATATCTCTCAATTGACAATATGTGTGGTTGTTGTTTGTTTAAGCTCCGCTTCCACCGAAGGTTGAATAAACCCTGGAGGTTGAGAAGGCGTCCCCCCTGTCTTAATTGACAATATGTGACAATTCGAACTGTTTAAATCACAATCTTGAAGGCCATTTAGAAAAGGGTTGACATCACGCCATCGTGTTGGCGGAAAAATTATCTGGTAATTTTGCAGCTGTGTCTAGCTGATCATATAGGGAGAACACAAGGTCCCGTGTACTCATTGGCGTGCACGCACGTACAAGAACCATTGACAGTTGTAATTCTATATAAATGTAGCGCCACGGTCTGTTCAAAATTTCCCTCATAGCATATTGTAGGGCGTATAGTGCAGATACGTGGGACATTAAACCCCATTTCACTGCAAGAATATCCCAAGAAAAACAACAGAATTATTCCGATCAAGCATTTCGTTCTGTTAACTTCTTCTTGGTGTAAATTGGGGGGGGGGATGGCTGAATGGTTAGCGTGCGCGCGCTGTATCATGAAGTCTGTCATTGAGTCGACTGGCGTGGTTTCGAATCCCCGGTTGTACGTGACAAGGAGTAGGGTCGCCTGTCCAACCTCGTGGGTTTTCTCCGGGTCCTCCGGTTTCCTCCCACTGCTAAAGACCCCTACGCGCAAGCGAATTATTGAAATAAGATTAAAACCATATTTTAGTCCCGAAATGATCTAGTTTGTGTCGAGTGGACGTTAAACCCCATTTCTCTCTCTCTCTCTTTATTGGTGTAAATAGATGGAAACCACAAAATTATTGGACCATGACCGCGTAATTGTCCATGACTCGGAGAGATTACCCCTTCTGTCAGTCTGTCCAGGTAGGGTTCGGGTTATTTACGTCTGTCTTGCCAAATTTACGGATACATATAAACTGCTCTCGTAGACGGAAATGAAATGAAATGAAATGGGGTTTAACACCCTATTGTACTGCTCCTATACTGGGCTAATGAAGACGGACATACGCCATACAGTGTGCTATGAGAGAAATTTTGCCCGGATAGCTGCACTACGGCCTACTCTCATCGAATTCCAACTGTCAAGGGATCTTTTATGTGCACTCCAATGTGTACACGGTACCTCGGTTTTCCCTCCCGTCCGAACAACTGAATAGCTATCCTTGTCAGACCCTCCGTCCTGCATCAATGACAAGGGGAGGGGGTGTGGGTGTGAACGGTTCTGATAGGTAGATTTACATTGATTGTCAAGAACCCAACGGTAGGCGTAGTTTTTTCTCTTCGTATTTTAGGTATTTTCTATACTCCGATGTCAAAATCGATATCGGAAGCCCAAGCCATGGATAAAGACGCCATCATACCGAATGGTACCCTGTTGGAATCACCTGTCACTGCAGGCGAAGCGCTACCAAATGCTGGTAAAGATGTAACACAAAATGATACCAAAACGGAAACTTTTCTTCAGAAAATTAGACAGTCATCATACAGATCCAAATTTGTCCAGAGTCTTTCACTTTCTTTTGCTTTCTGGTGTTTTGTAAGTACTATTAATCTGTATTTGGTATGGAATGTGTGTCATTACTTGACGATCGTAACAAAACCTAACAAGTCATTTATTGCGATTTTATGACCAAGGTCTTGAGGTGAAGCTATTTATTTAAAAGTATATTAAGCTATTTTCTGATTCGAGGTATTGTTATACATGTACATGTATATATTATTTCTTGGCCCAAAATTATCGAACATTGAATTCACAATGTTACATTACTTTATTTTAACGATATCAAACACTACTTTATTTTAACGATATCAAATAGCTTTAACCATTTATTTGTTCTTAAAAATCTATCTTTTTTAATCATTTTTAATTTGTCTAGCACACTTGTATATTTGTATAGCACATATTGTTTCTTTTGGTTTAGGGATTTCAAGTTGGTCAGAGAGGTCCATCATTCTTGGATATCCAACTAATAACTAACACTAATGTGGAGAAAGCTTCCACGTTTTTTACTGCTGGTTCTGTGGGTTATCTGTGTGGTTCCTTTATCAGTGGTGTGCTGTATGACAGATTTAACAAGACCCTTCTACTGTTCTTGAGTTTAGTATTCATGGCTATCACGGTCGCCGTACTACCACTGTGTTCACCATATGAACTGATGCTGGCGATCTTATTGGCTAATGCGTGTTTTATTGGCGGATTGGATACAGGTAAGAAACCGATATATTAATCAAAGACAGGAAATCCAAATTGAAATTGATTAGAATTTGTTTAATGTGTATTCGATGGATTTGGACATAGAATTTATATTTTGTTTAATTGACGTTCCATCATCTATGGCCGGCGGGGTGATTTACCTAATTCCACCCAATACCCCCATCGAATACTACCCAATACCACCCGATTTCACCACATACTACCCAATACTACAACATAATATTGCAAATTACTTGATTTCAAAAAGTGTGAGATATATCGCGCGAATTCAATGTAAATAGCCATTTTTAAGAAATTATGGTATAAAACATACGACAAATTGTCACAATGTTGTATACGAATAATACATATTTTTGTAAATATATCTATCCATACAACAAAAGTTGTAACGGCCGCGTTCTTTCTCTTGGGGACACGTGTAGAGATCATCCTACTCTGAACTCGTGGACCCACTAAAAGGATGCCTTAAATGCAAAAGTTGTTATATGTTTGTCATCTTGTTTATGTTCGTGTCTATTATTATTTTTATCAGAGTAATATCATGGATGAAATGTGTCTAATCTGAAGAATTTAACGATATGTCTCGATCACCCAGGCCTATATAGTCTACGCTTCGGCTACAACTAATCTTTGGACAGAATAGAAGCCGCTGTGGACTGACGGATTGGGTACACAGTTCGCCTAATGACTTATAGGATATGTTTCATTCTATCAGTTGACAATAAAGGGTGATGGTCAACAAGTAGGGAAAATATATGCTGGAATGATTCGAAATAAATAATTTTGTCACTATCACAGGAACCAAAACCTTATTCTTAATCCATGCCTACAATTATATAACTTCTTTTACAGCTGGAAACGCTCGTCTTGTTTCCATATGGGGAGAAGAGGAAGGTAGACCATATATGCAGGCCGCTCAGTTTGCGTTCGCATTTGGTGGAGTTAGCTCCCCCTTAGTGACAGCACCTTTTCTTGCACCTAAAGCTGAAGATGTATCAACCCACTCCTGGTCAACAAACCTAACTTCTTCTGTTGTACTCAATAATACGCTATTAGATTATAACATCACCAATGATAACTCAACTCTAGGAAACAATATCACCACCATTGCTGAACCTGTTGAAACTAAATTAATCTATGCTTATATAATATCTGGTATTGTCACCTTACTATCCGCCATTCCTTTCATGGTGATATATTGTCGTTACAAGTCACAGAAGATGAAAAGGAACCAGCCCAAGAACGGTCTCACAAGGGATCTTCCTTGGAAATATTTCATAATCGCCGTTGTTCTTTTAAATCTGTTCTATGTTACATATTGTGTTGTGGACAACACCTTTGCAGCTTACCTAATGACGTTTGTGGTAATGGAACTCAAATGGAGCAAGGCGAAAGGTACTCAAATTACTTCGGTATATTGGGCAGCTTTTACCGTTTCGAGATTTTCAGGAATTTTTGTTATACGTTGTTTACGACCAGTTGTAATGTTAATAATATGTCTAACACGTTTAATTTTAAGCTTCACTGGTTTTCTACTTTGTTCACATTTTCAAATCCACATAGGAATTTGGATTTTCGCCGTTTTAATCGGGCTTTCAATGTCGGTTATATTTCCTACTGGGTTTACCTGGGCCCACGAAAATCTCCTCAACATAACTGGCAAAGTCACATCTTTAATTTTAGTTGCAGCATCAGTCGGCACCGTGATCAATCCTATTATTATTGGATACTTGATGGAAGAGTTAACTCCCATGTGGTACTGTTATTTATTAGTATGTGAGAGTTTATTGTGTTTGACGATATTTCTCGTTTTGCTATTCGTGGCTAAGTTTTTATCAGGACCCAAACGTATTGTTCCAACTCCTACAATAGAGGTTGAGTCACCGCAAGCAAAATCTATTAATAATGGCACACCTTTCGTACCAAATAATGTATCATCTGAACTTTGAAATTCCCTATAAAATAATTTTAGTTGGTTATTAAATAATGTGATATAGATTCTATTTATTATTTTAAATACAGTATATCATCTGAGAATGTTCGTCTTATCGTGTTGGAGGCAAAGTTACACTTGTTTCGAATCCCCATCTGCATCAGCGATAGAAAAAGTAACACGTTTCACCCCATTTTATTGTTGTTACAGAAACCTGAACTAATCATAAGCTGACCCATTCACCTCCACGGGTAGCCGTGTGTATAGTTAAGATGTCATCTTATGCAACCTAGACTGATCGAACAAGACATACTGGCTCATCCATTTCTGTATCTGGGTGTTTAATTAAGCACTATAATAAACTCATTGTATTTGCAGATATTTTAATTAATATCATTCGCCCAGTTGGCGTAGGACGTTAAACCCCGTTTCATTTCATTTGTATTAACCCGTTAATATGACATGAATTGTTTGATTATTGAGCGAATCTTAACAATACTTGATTTTGGGAACAGGCATGTACAGCTCCAATGATACCCGAACAAATTATTATTATTATTACAGCATATTTTCATCACGTTTCAAATATAAGATCAAGATTATGGACATGTTAAACGTTGTATATATACAGTTTCCGTTTAAATAAATGTGTTTAAGTTGTTTTTTATTGTGCTATAGTAAATGTAATCATCGTCGGTATCCCCAGTGGTGGGGGTTGGATGGCCGAATGGTTAGCGCGTGTGCCGTGTATCATAAGGTCTGTCATTGAGTCAACTGGCGTGCTTTCCATTCCCTTGCTCTACGTGACAATGAGTGGAGTCGCCTTCCACTGCTAAAAACCCCTACACGCAAGCGAATTATTGAAATCAAATTGAACCATATGGTTGTCCCGAAATGCCCTAGTTTGTGGACGTTAAGCCCCATTTCTCTCCCTATCTCTCTCGCTCTCTCTATCCCTAGTGGTCCCATTCCGTTCTACGTGGCATTAAAATGATAAATTATACAATACTAGAGTAGACAATTTGAATGTAGAATGTATTTTATATATGTTCTTATTATAAACGTATGAATGAATATAAATTATAGTAGAAATTGTTACTTATCATATGTATAATATATCAATGCTTATTGTTTTGAACAAAAATTATTAAAAGCCACATCTTTGTTGGTTTCTTGTAAAATTAGCTTTAAAAAATCGACTCACACAGGAAAATAGCTAAAATCTCTTCTTCAAAAGCTAATCATGTATAAGAGCCGTCCACTTTGGGAAAATGTTGCATGTACGCGTATCTGTCAATTGCCCATCTTTAATATTTTTCGTCATTTTTTGCCGATTTAAACAGACTAATTAGAATACATCTGGTTACCTGATCATCATGAAACCAAACCTTCTAAAGATAGTTTGTGCGTAGTTATCAATTATGCATCAATATCAGATCGTGGCGGTACCGTTAATTTATGATTCAATATCAAAAACATAGAAAATTCATGATTTTTAACATGTACGTACTGTAGCATATATTACAAGAATGACCCATCTATCAACCTTGGGTAAACATAATTCTATTGTCTACTTTCGATTTGCTTGAAATGATTGACTCTGAAAACATGGCACAAGTGATTATGACAGAGGTGTAGCGAAGGCTTCTTTCTTAGTAAGAAAAACACAACACAATTTATATGTAAAACCAATCACTGGTTTATAGACATATAGCACGACGTTTCGACAATTATTATCTTATCGTTTTCAAGTACAAATGATAATTAGCAAACTAAAAGGTAACATTTATAGTTATACAAAACAAACCCATTGGACTGAAAAATAAATGGTTCAATTGACATTGTTAACACTTAAATAAATAATTAACAAATAATCAAAGCGTACGTAAGGAAAGACATGAATAAACACAACTGGTGAAACCCTGTTGATTAAGATAACTATAATACTAGAATATATAACCTTAATTGTTGTTAGTTTAACATGATGACAATTTATGAGAGGATTATGATTGGGGCTAACACAATATTAATTTTAGTGTAAGGATTAGGGTTTCACCAAGATATATAGACTTATAATAATATTGAATGTACATCTTTGGACTGATTGAGAGAGGGGTAAAATGAAAGAAATGTAATTAAAAATTAAGCTATCAAAATAGTTAATTATGTGCGTAACTATATTGTGATTTCTCCATCTTTGGAATGTATAAATGAAATGAAATGAAATGGAGTTTAACGTCCTACTTTTCTGCTCCTAACCTAGGCTAATGAAGACAGGCATACGCCATACAGTGTGCTATGAGGGAAATTTTGCCCGGACAGCGGCACTACGGCCTACTCTTATATCGAATTCCAACTGCCAAGGGATCTTTTACGTGCACGCCAATGTGTACACGGTACCTCGGTTTTTCGTCCCATCCGAACGACTAGACAGCTTTCCTTGTCAGCCCCTCCGTCCTGCATCACTGACAAGGGAGAACCACGCCGGAAAATCTGGATGAACTTTCTCGGCCAATGCAGGGATCTGGTGTTTGCGGACGGCTATGATTTGGACATTGTTCCAATCAGGTTTTTGGCCCTGGTTCTTGCTGATGTGTTCTGTTATTGCGGATACATTGGTTTTGGCACTAGACATGTGTTCAACAATCTGTTCGTCTAGTGGTACTTTCGTTTCTCCTATGTATAATTGGGGTGTGTGGAGTTCAAGTTGATATATTGATTTGCGCTACATGTTGGTTTTGATGGTGTTATTTACTCTGTGGACATGCACATCTAGGAAGGGGCGTGGTTGTTCAACTTTTATCTCCATAGTGAATTTTATCTTCGGGTGCTGGTTGTTGAGGTGGTCAAAGAAAGCTGCTGCGTCATCTTCTTCCTCCAGGATGACGAAAGTGTCGTCCACCGTGCATAAATAAAATACAGGGGTTATAGGACATGATTTTAAGGGACGTTCTTCAGTTCTTGTTACGTAGATTTCTGAGATGAGTGGTGATAGAGTACTTGCTATTGGTAGCCCATTGATATGTTGATAAGTTTCGTCTCCCCAGGTGAAGTAGGTAGAGTTAATGCACATACTGACTAGACTAACTATATTCTCTGCTGACAAATTGGTTTCCAACGGTTCTTCTAATCTTACATAATCAGATTATCTGATGTTAAAGACGCTTCTTGCCAACTTGACACCTGTTCGTTATCGACATGCCTGGAGTTCTTGGTCTATGTGATTATGTAATGATTATGTAAACGTTAACTTGCTGGCATGTTTTATTTAAACTTTCTTTGTCTGATTAGCATGTATGGAATGTTAAACTTGATATGATACATTAGCCAGATGCCTAATAAGATCCTTTGTTTGGAAGGGTTTATAAACCCAGATTAAGAAACAAATAGACAAGAGAGGTCCGGCCAGGACAGGCCACGCAGGTTTGGAGTTAAGGCCATGTAATGTAAGAGTTTGGAGTTGGCACACTCGTGCCTAGCCGAGCTAGGACATGGCTCCCTCAATACAAGTTAGTTATGGAGTCTTTAAGTTTTGTATATAATATGTTAGAAGAAGCAGAGAATAAAAGTATTTTAAGATGTTAAACTAGTCTTGTCATCCGAACCTGATTAAAGAACCAATACTGTCACAGGTTTCATTCCTGGGAATATTGGTGAATAAGTCATGCGATACCAATTTTCCTGGGTCGCTTATATTTCTAATCTTTTCGCAAACCATGGTGTAATCTGTAATGAATGAAGACGCGACCTTGCCTAGCGGGGAGAGAAGCATGCTAAGTTGCTTGGCAACATTGTACAAACAGAGTCTGAAGAGGTAAGATTGATAGACACACATCGCAGCCGTTTGTAGCTCTTTTGTGTGTCGACGGTAGTGACGAGGTTTTGTGTATCAAAGCCGACTTTCCCTGTGAGATCATGGCAGCTGATCGATTGTGCAAATGAAAACGGGCATACGCTATAAGGTGTGGTATAAGGAAAATCTTTTCCCGGACAGCGACGCTACTGCCAAAATATTAGATGACTATGCATACCCTCCGTCCTTGCCATCCCCTCCGTTCTTGCCATGCCCCCCGTGCCTGTCCTTCCCTCCGTCATTAACAAGTAACAACTAGAACCCACCCTGGTAAAATTCTTCTAACTTGTTGCTAGACAGTAGCGTTGATTCGTACACTTTTTCGGAATTCAAACTGCCAAGGGTTTCTTTTACGGGCGTGCTAACATGTTCCTGGGACCTCGGTTTTTATCCCACCCGATCCGACAATGCCCTCCATCCTGCAGCAACGAGAGAGAAAGGTTAGAAACCACACGGCAAATCTCTGAGAAATTTCTCGATCGAAACCGGGATTCCTTGTTATCGATCATTTAGACATTTGTATTATGCTTAAATTTCACAAGATTCTAGTTTCCAAATATTTTGTTTGAAAAGGAATAAGGAACAACAATTCATTGGGATTGATCAATCATGTCCTACAAATCTTGATACCTAAAGCTTGTTGTTATCTGGGTAATGACCATTTATTATCAAAGAATATAAATAAGAAAATAAGTTTTTATCAACGGTGTCATACATTAAAATTAAATATATAAATATATATCAACATTATGATTCATAAAAACTATATATATTTACAATAAAATATTGAAGACATTTTGAATAAATTAAACACCATAAACAATAAATATATACACAGTATATGTCCTGTAGATAAAGTACAAATACGTCATCAGTAGTTTTACCTGTTGACTACAGACAGTATAATACGTCATCAGTAGTTTTAACTGTTGACTAGAGACAGTATAATACGTCATCAGTAGTTTTAACTGTTGACTACAGACAGTATAATACGTCATCAGTAGTTTTAACTGTTGAATAGAGACAGTGTAATACGCCATCAGTAGTTTTAACTGTTGACTAGAGGCAGTGTAATACGTCATCAGTAGTTTTAACTGTTGACTAGAGACAGTATGATACGTCATCAGTAGTTTTAACTGTTGACTAGAGACAGTGTAATACGTCATCAGTAGTTTTAACTGTTGACAAGAGACAATAAAACTGTAAATTGTATGACTAAGAGACAATAACATTATTTTGACTAGTTTACATGAATTATTTATTTTAATTTCATTTGATCTGTTAAATATTTTATCATTTCTTCTGATTCTGATCCCACACAATAATCTAGAGGTGTTTTATCATCTTTATCCTTAACATGTACATCTAGATGTAAACAATCAACTAGATATTGTACTGTAGATAAAGTACCATACCTACATGCCAGGTGTAAGATGGTATCATTATCACTGTCTCTAGTGTTAATATCAGCCTGATGACTGACTAGATATTGTATTTTATCTACAGTACTTACACTCGATTCACAACAGTCAAATAACGGTGTACGGTTGTTATAACCTGTTGTATGAACATTCATGTGTAAATCATCAACTAGGTATTGTACTGTAGATAAATTACTCCGCTTACATGCCCAGTGTAAGATGGTATTATTAAACCTGTCTCTAGCGTTAATATCAGCCTGATGACTGACTAGATATTTCATTTTATCTAAAGGACTTTCGTATGATTCACAACAGTCAAATAACGGTGTACGGTTGTTAGAACCTACTGTATTAACATTCATGTGTAAATCATCAACGATATATTGTACTGCAAATAAAGTACCATAATGACATGCCCAGTGTAAGATGGTATCATTCCTGTTATTTTTGGCGTTAATATCGGCCTGATGACTGACTAGATATTTTATTTTATCTACAGGACTTACATCTGATGTAGAACAGTCAAATAACGGCGACAGGTCTATACCGCCTCTGGTGTTAACATCCATGTGTAAATCATCAACAAGATATTGTACTGTAGATAAAGTACCTTCGCCACATGCCGCGTGTAATATGGTATTATTACTACTGTTTCTAGCGTTAATATCAGCCTGATAACTGAATAGATATTTTACTTTATCTACAGGACTTACACTTGATCTACAACAGTCAAATGACGGTGTCCGATTGAACACACCTGTTGCATTAACATCCATGTGTAAATCATCCACAAGATATTGTACTGTAGATAAAGTACCATGTAAACATGCAATGTGTAGGATTGTATCATCAGCATTGTCTCTAGCGTTAATATCGGCCTGATGACTGACTAGATATTTTATTTTATCTACAGGACTTACACTTGATCTACAACATGCAAATAATGGTGTAGGGTTATAACCACCTGTTGTATTAACATTAATGTGTAAATCATCAACGAGATATTTTACTGTAGATAAAGTACTATAGCAACATGCCCAGTGTAGTATAGTATCATTATTCCAGTCTCTGGCGTTAATATCAGCCTGATGACTGACTAGATATTTTATTTTATCTACAGGACTTACACTTGATTCACAACATTTAAATAACGGCGTATGATATAGCCAAGCTTCTATATTAACATTCATGTTTAAATCATCAACAAGATGTTCTACTGTAGATAAAGTACCAAACCAACATGCCCAGTGTAAGATGGTATGCTTATTACGGTCTCTAGCGTTAATATCGGCCTGATGACTGGCTAGAAATTGTATTTTATCTACAGGACTTACACTTGATTCACAACATTTAAATAACGGTGTCAGGTCGTCACTGTTTCTGACGTTAACATCTATGTTTGCTATCTTTTTTATATCATTCAAAGTACCATGTAGACAGGCATCAAATAATTGTTGTTGTTGTTGACGTGTATCTGTAATATATAACACGTTAAACTATACTAAGCAGCAAAATAAACGTTTTTATTGTATATTTGTGACAAAATCTCCAACTTTACCTGAGCAATAACGTTCCTTCCCAAGCACAGAATTGAACCCAGGAAATGTTCTCAAAAACGCAATCTGACTTCTGAGATGGTAATGTGTTCTACATGATTTTCATGTAGCTCATGCTGCATATGCTGTTCACCGGGTCCAGCCCTATAAAATGCACTCCCATACCTGGTTGAATCATTTGCACTACAACGTCAGCAGCAGGCCGCGACTGACGATAGTTCAGAGGATCCAGTCGCTCGGAAGACTCGACGCTGGTCACACTGCCAAAGCAGTTGCCAATCATTTCCAGGTAAAGTTGTGCGACAGCACTAGCAGAACCCCCCCACATAGGCATCTGAGACAGCACGTCACAGACAGTGGGAACACACGGAAGGCCCATCAGTACCGATAGAGTGCGCCGACGTCTCACCAGCGAGAACATCCATTGTCGTAGACCTTACCCTGGACCGATCCTCCTCTCTCGCCATCGTCGTGAACGTCTACAGTTTGCCCAACAACACCAGAACTGGCGACACAGGCAATGTAGAGCTGTTTTGTTCACAAATAAGAGTCGGTATTGCGTATCATCCACAGGTGGATGGCAGGACCAGAAGATGGCGTCGACGTTGCCAGCGTTATTCTAACCAATGTGTCATGGAACGAGACTCGTGGGGAGGTCCAAGAATAATGGTTTGGGGTGAAATCGGCCTGAAGCAGAGAGTGGGTCCTGTGGTGTTCCAAAATCTGTGTCCAGGGAGAGGAGTTAGTTGGGTCCCAAAATGGCGCCTGTAAATGAGCTGTCGTAACTTTATAAGGCTTTCTTGAGAATGAGTGTATAACGTAATATATTTGAAATAAATATCAACCTACCTTCCTCATTTAGGGTTAGAATTTTAAAACATGTCTCCAACTCATCAATTCTCTTCTTTGTCAGAGCTTCTTTCTCTTCAGTTTGCTTTTTGTATGTTTCAAGTTTTTCGACTTTCTTCAACATCTGTTTGGAATCTCCATCTTGCCTTGTTTTTAATGTTTCCATCTGTTTCTTCAGGTTCTCTAATTCCTGTTTAATAAGGTCATGATCTTTATGTAAGTCTTCTAGCTGATGTCTTGTCTTGTTTTGTTCTGTCATCAGATTGGTTTTATTTTTACCTGTATGATAAAATTATTTACAACAGATTGGTTTTATTTTTACCTGTATGATAAAATTATTTACAATTCAATACTATTACCTGTATGATATAATATAATACACAATTACACAAGACAAACCCACGGACATAACACAATATACATGGACAAATGAAATGGGGTGTAACGTCCTACTGTTCTGCTCCGACTGGGCTAATGAAGACGGTCAGACGCCATTCAGTTTGCTGTGAGTGCAATTTTGCCCGGACAGCGGCACTACGGCCTACTCTTATATCGAATTCCAATTGTCAGGGGGATCTTTTACGTTCAATCCAATGTGTACACAGGGCCTCGGTTTTTTCGTCCCATGCGAACGAATATAGGTTTTTCCTTGTCAGGGTCCATATTTATACCCAACAATTAGTGATTCCGAAGACTCACTTGAAATAAGGACAGTTAAAAAACAAAAATCATGACAAAAGCCATTTGGCCGTCTGAAAGCAATATATTAAATTGCATCACTGTGAATTTGAGAATAAAGTAGGTAGAATATTAATATCATGTGATTCAACTTACCTTGATTGCTCGACATCTTGATTATAGATTTATATTTTCTATACTGGACTTAGATAGGTATCACCTGATCTCAAATTCTAGAAAACAAGAAACAAGTCACGTTGACTAATATGTAATTGAAATTAGATTTCATTTAGTTGTGATTTTTTTCTATAAACTGATCTATGTGTTCTGGGAGTAAGGTGGTAGAGACCTGGCCTCTGTGGTATAGACCTGACATGGGTGATACCGACCGGACCTCTGTGGTGGACACCTTGATGTGTGGTGAAGACCTAACCTTTGCGATAGAGACCTGACCTGTGTGATAGAGACCTGGCCTGTGTGGTAAAGACCTGGTCGGTGTGATAGAGAAATGACCTGTGTGGTAGAGACCTGGCCTGTGGTGTAGACCTGATCTGTGTGGTAGAGACATGATCTGTGTGGTCTTGTATTAAGGTTAAAAATTCTATTGGCCGCATCTAAGTTTAGGGATTTCAGAGTTGCTGGTTGGCGAATTGAGGACTTTGTTATTTACATATTAAAGTCAAATTAATTATGAAAATCAGTTTAAAGCAGCTAGGTGGTTTTAGACGGACATTTGCTCCCTTATAAAAATGCCACTGATCGGAAGTGACATATAATTGAAGTAAATTGATACCATATGTTAGTCTCAAAATATTTTGACAGGGTCAAGGTTAACAGGTCTACATTCTATTTCAGGAAGTGTATTGCGAAGCGTAGTGAACTATTAATAGTACACTGTAATGGGAGAAGGGTCAAGGTTAACAGGTCTACATTCTATTTCAAGAAGTGTATTGCGAAGCGTAGTGAACTATTAATAGTACACTGTAATGGGAGAAGGGTCAAGGTTAACAGGTCTACAGTCTATTTCAAGAAGTGTATTGCGAAACGAAGTGAACTATTAATAGTACACTGTAATGGGAGAAGGGTCTCAGAACATACCCTGGTAATGAAGTCAGTTAACAGGAATAATTAAAAAAAACAGTGCGATTTTATAGGTGGTTATTGTGAATATTCAATTACAAATATAAACGAGTTTGAATGGCATCTATCAAATATCAAACTTTCTACGGCTTAATCCAAAATAGTTTACAAAACATTTAATTAAAGATACACTATGGGAGATTAGATAACGAGTTGGCAGTTATCACTATAATAGTTAAAAACTAGATAATGTAAAGGCAATTTGCTGAAAGTTTCAGTCAAATTGAACCACCATGAACCGAGAAATAAGCGATCAAAAGTTCCGCATAGCCTCGTTCATCATTACTAAAGTTCATACGACAAAAATCATAGTCTCGATTATCCACCTAATCGTTAAATCGAGAAGGAAAGTTATGCAGCAAATCGGATCATAATCCAACAAATATCGCAGGCTAGTGTTGACATTGAGAGTTGATTATGGTCTGGATACGTTAATCAATATCTAATTCATAGATTAATTTATATGACATTTCAGGGATAAAGAAAGACCTACAATAGGCAGATTTAGCTCTTGCATATTGTATTTGAAAGTAAACGATATCCCAATATCAAGGGTAGATAAATTCTAGGCTAGGATTCAAACGGTTCACTTCAATCTTAACTAAATGTACAGACAAACTTTAACTTGCCACCCAGACACGATGTTCAAATTGCTGGACACGTCCCTCAGGTGCTCATTATTATGACGGATGTCCTACTATTTAAACATATACCAGAAGGATTTCCTACTATATAAAGATATGAAATATTAATGGAGTTATTATAAAGATATGAAATAAATATATGAAACCTTGTCTGCTATATAAAGATATGAAATATTAATGGAGTTATTATAAAGATATGAAATACATATATGAAAGCTTGTCTGCTATATAAAGATATACAATAAGTTATATGAAATAATATCATTTCTACCTGTTTCTTTATTTGTCTTATTTCTGCTTTTTACTGTCTCTTGGTCCAGTCCTAGGTATATACTGATCACCGCTAGTAACATTTTAAACATCTATATATATTCGTAATATAAATAGGGCGTGTTTTAAAAACTGTCCTATATAATGATTGGTGGATACTTACACTGTTACTATAAATATCTCTAGGTATATACTGGTCACCGCTGGTAATAGTTCAAACAATAATTACACTGCTACTATAAATATCCCCCAACTTTTCTTTATCGCAAACTTGCAATAACTATTGAAACATATTATTTAACCCCCGTCTTGTCCGTCTCATATCTTATTATCAAACATGTTACACAATCTGATAAACTGATTATTTCAGAGTGTATTAATACTGGCGAGAAGGGTATATAAAACCTGTCGGAATTTGCACCTTAGTACGTGAGTACGACATAGGCCCAAGCCTTCATCAAACAGTCTACTTGAAGACTGGTCAGGTGATAGCTAAATATTAAAATAGTTTAATGCATTCGTTAGCATATGGCAATTCTGTATATTTCTATTATATCTTCTGTAATGTGTGGGCTATACGAACGAAATATGTTTGTTTCTTTCACTATATTCCTCATTGATAATTACAGAAGCTTTCAGTTTGTACGTAAAATCATATTTACTTGATCCGACTTACTTACAGCCTCGGATGTTTGTTTTATTTTAATACTTACAAGCTTCGCCGGTAACCAATAACCCTTCATACGTTCCTGTAGCCAATAACCCCATTTTACGTCCCTGTAGTCAATAATTTCATTATACGTTCCTGTAGTCAATAACCCCAATATACCTTCCTGTAGTCAATAACCCCCATATATGTTCCTATAACCAATAACCCCATTATACGTGTCTGTAGCCAATAACCCCTTCATACGTTCCTGTAGTCAATAACGCCACTCTCAAGTGTGGGCTACCCGGGACTACCATTGTGTGACTTTTTACTAGCATGGAGATTTTCGGGTGTAATTCCCCTTAGCATGCAATCTGGTACTCGTGACGTTTCCTTTAAGGGAGCATGCAAAATGATACTCGTGACTTCCCCTTTAAACTATCATGCAATCTGATACTCGTGACTTCCCCTTTAAACTATCATGCAATCTGATAATCGTGACTTCCCCTTTAAACTAACATGCAATCTGATACTCGTGACTTCCCCTTTAAACTATCATACAATATGTTACTTGTGAAGTCCCCTTTGAACTATCATACAATCTTATACTAGTGAAGCTCTCTTTAAACTGAGATATAATCTGATACTTGTGAAGCTCTCTTTAAACTAACATACAATCTGTTACTCGTGACGATAATAATTAATAAAGACATAATCTGCTACTCTAGCGTAAATAAGTGGACTTGTGATAAATTGTTACCTTTATCCACTTTATGATGTTTACAGTGCAATTGTTATTATATTTCAATAAAACTACTTTGAACATATTGTAAATTTTAACAAATGATTACACTATACATAAGATCCAGTTAAGGAGTGGTCGATAGTGTATGTACCAGCACAGCACGCCGCTCATTATATTTCAAGAGAGCAACTTTTGACATATTTTAACAAAGAGAGAGAAATGGGGTTTAACGTCCACGCGACACAAACTAGATCATTTAGGGACTAACACATGGTTCAATTTTATTTCAATAAATCGTATGCGCGTAGAGGTACTTAGCAGTGGGAGGAAACCGGGAGTCCCGGAGAAAACCCACGAGGTTGGACAGGCGACCCCACTCCTTGTCACGTACAACCAGGGAATCGAAACCCCGCCAGTTGACTCAATGACAGACCGTATGATACAGCGCGCACGTGCTAACCAACCAGTCAGCCATCCAACCCCCCCCCCCTTTTAACAAAGAATTGAGGCCATCACTGGATGGGCCCTATTGATATTCAGCTTTCCAATGTTAGGCTCTTTTTTCCAAAAACTTTATGAACATGATAAAGGTGCCTTGAATAGGTTAGGTTAAAATATGGTGTAACAATTATGGTCTTGAGATGACGATCACTCCAAATATTGAGTGGTCTGCGACTTTCTGTTTCATGAACCCTGTAAAGTTTTAGACGCTACGGTTTCTAAAGGATTTGCAAGCTTGTGAAGACGATAGAGATCAGATAACTTGAAGGACCCCCTTATCAAATTTGATCAACATCCATAGTGCCTGTCGGATAAGCTCAATTTTGTGCCCCTTTTTACATTGCCGTCTTTTTATTTGTTTTTCATTTTGAGTGAAGCCTATGTAGCTTGGTTGGTGTGACTTGTGGGGTTTGTTTGCGTTTACGTAGGGTAGTCCTACAGCACTTACTATAGTAATCTTAGGAAACAAAAAACAGTTTATTAAATCGTCAATCGTCAATCATGTGCTAAAAGATGATATTAACAAACGGTTGCCTTAAAAGATAGGCCCAGATTTTGCAAGAAATGGATAGAGAACAAACTAATAAAAATGCGATTTTTCGTATAATCAGAGACCATAATCCAGGACGTTATGGTCTGAAATGCGCGAATATTGACAGGGGGTGAGATCTTTCGGATATAAAGAAATATTTTACGTCTCATCAAATTCGAACAAAAATTGTGACCTCTAGAGGATCCACAACCTTCGTATTACATACTTTTAAACAAATGCTTACAAGGAGCGGCCAATCTTACGGGCAGTTTTGTTTCGATTTTCACGAAATTCGAACTCAACCTTCAATAAGGGCAATATTGGTGTCAGTCATTATCATATATGTCATAGAACTAGTTAAACACGTTCCAGATGTAATTTTAACACAGAGACCATTGCTACGATAGATGCGTAATGAAAGTTTCTATAAAAGGAAGTGGCGAACGTAAAAGGAAAACTGGAGTTATCCTTCTATATAACTGACTGAAGTGACGAGTGATAACGGATACACGGGCAAATTTCTGCTCACTAACAATTTCCTCGAAGACCAAAAGTTGTTATGTGAGCCCATGAGAGGTTATCTGATAATTCAAAAAAGTAATTAAATGTCACTAGATAAGGAAACACGAGAAAAATAGAAACAGTCCGTACATTCACGTGTGTTTAATCATTCTATACTTAATAAAAACATGGTAATGCACGGACTTTTTTCTATATTGTAGATTATATACCTAGAACTAATATATACGACACTAAAGAGCACGTTGTATTGAAGTCAAATTGGGGACAGGGCATAGTGTTCAGACCAGGAGTTTTAAAACCAAAGTTTGAGTCAATATCCCTCGAATAGTGGTCCCTCGCCAACATCGCAATACTTAAATGTCTTTTTGAAAAAAGGGGTGATGACCATTAGTGAGATCAGAGATTTTTTTCGCCTATACAACTCGAACACTCTAAGTTTTCACGCGATACGAACACGTACCTGTACTCCGTTATGACAAGGAATACTGCATTCTGCAGAGCCAGTTCGGCTTTTGTTGGGACATGTCTGTGACGCACTTGCGAACGATTCATTTTATGCCAAAATACTATCCACAAGGAAGATACACTCAAACAACGTATAGGAACTCAACTCAACCATCGACGCTGTACCCAGCAACCATCACCGGGCAGGGTTTTCTTTTTATCTTAAATGGCGTTTCAAATGGATTTGATATAAATGATTCAAAATCGAGTCCTAAATTTTGTGAAAGTCATTATCATAAAGCTGCCTGATTGAGTAGTGAGTACTACGAAAATGTCACCAAAGAAATCACAAAAGAAATTATTAATGGGAATTATTTAGCAGTTTCTTGTAAACCTCTAATTACAAGTCCCATGGGTATAATACCAGAATCCAACGATGGCATTAGGCTAATTCACGACTGTAGTTATTCTTCTAGTAAAGCTATAAACGACTATGTAAGTGATATAAATAAGCATCGTTATCAGACAGTGGATGATGCTGCTAGATTTGCAAAGAAGGGGTTACTTCAAGGCCAAAGTAGATCTGAAGTCGGCGCATCGGTCTGTACCAATTAGTAAACATAGTCAAACTGTAACGGGTTTAAAGTGGAATTTTTACGGTGTATGGAGGCACCTTATTGACACAAAACTCCCATTCGGTTTTAAACTCGCACCCGAAATATTCCATCGACTAATACAGGCCGTTCGCCGATTGATGATGCGCCAAGACTATGAAAATACTGTTGTATATCTTGGTGATTTCTTCCTTTGTTATCCCACTATGGATCAATGTTCAGCAGTAGTATACTTAATCTTATTGAGGTTTTACGTTATCTATCATTAGAGACATTTGACAAGCGTAAATTCCTGGTCCGTATCGCGTATCGATTTTGCGTGTGACGTCATCAATGAGTGTGTATTTCTCATATGTGATACAGCACACGGATACGGCAGCACGTTTCGAACAGTTTTCATACGGAAAAGGTTGTCTTTTTATCGTATGTTTTGCTACTTTTAGACACTGAATTGTTTCACATAGCGTTTTTATGAATCTGTGTGTATCCTGTCTGCATGCTTGTGCTAAATGTAGGGAGGTGGGGCCTTGTAAATCGGTAAAAGGGGTATATATTTTCTGAAATGATATATTAGTGAAACCAAAAATTGCTGTCGAGTCGAGGTCCGAGATTTTTAATAAGATTCGACACAATTTGTTTTTTAAATTTAAATAGCTCAGCAACTGTCAAGCGACTTTACTCCCTTCAGGAATTTGTAGGCTAGGCATTTGACTGGTGCTGGTGTTGATCTTGATAAATAACTGCCACCATGCTGTAATTGAACTAAGCTCAGCTCAGCTACTCATACGTACGCGGCACGAATATCTACTAAAACTCTACATTTACATTGACGCAACGTATCCCGTGAAGATCCGGATACGTGATACGGATGGGAAAAAAATTACGCTTGGCAAAAGTCTCTATTAACTGGTCTAAGGTAACTGATCCTTACCAACACCTTACATTCCTCGGCATCGACATTGACTCAAATGCTATGTCGCTATGCTTACCTTCGGAAAAATTAGAATCTTTAAAGTACAAAATTGAGTCGGGTTTAACTAAAAAGCGCTTATCGAAGAAACAATTGCAGTCGCTGTCTGGCATTGTAAATTGGGCATCAGGCGTGGTTCGTCGCGGGAGTGTATTCATCCGACGAATTTTGATTCGCATTAATAGTATTAAACCAAGATATATTACTGGATTTACACTGGTGGAAACACTGTTGGATTTGCGTTTTTCTGTTCTGTAGCACGGACCAGACAATACTAGACGATCATGGGCTGTTCTAAAATACGTAGTAAGAAACGATCCATGGGTTATACGCCCGCTCTCCACGTCTGACAAAAGACCCATGGTGCTATATATTTGATTTGGTTTTCGTGACCAGAATCAACCTTCAAGGGAATCTAGATGAAAACTTATTTGATTTGTTTGCAGTGCCTCAGGATCGAGTCCCCTGGAAGAATTTGTCTAGAAGAAAATCCAGGGAAGAAAATAAATTTGGTGGAAGAGAAATCTGGTGGAAAAATTGGTGGAAATATTCTCAATTGTGTAAATGTATTTTCCGATAAATTGAAAAACAGACCAGATCATGCTCAGTAACATTTAAATTATAAAATAAGGGTTATAACTTTAGGATACATAATGAAGTGGGACAAGTAGGTTAAATATTTATGTAATATGATTACCTTTAGGAATGTCAAATTAGAGTTATCTAATTTTAAAGTGAGCCTATAGTTAGTAGGTTACCAAATTTTAGGTATATCAGGAATACCAATAATATGGAATAGGGAATAAAATAAAGAATTAATGGTGTCTCCGGATCAGAGTGGAAGGACGGCAGAGTTAAGGATAAAGTTGGGGTGTTTCTACTTTGATTCGTTAAAATTCGTGTTTGTATCGTTCATTTAGCTAAGTAGAGCTAATATGACTTTGAGACTCTAGTCCAAGTCCAAATCATGGTGATGGCCAGGTAAGGCGAAAATAGACGGATGTTATACTGTACATATAAATGTACATGATTTAAGGGTGTTGTAATAGAAGACATACCGTTACGAAAGAAGATCTAGCATACAGGCATGTTGACTTAGAGGACGTTGGTCAAGATGAGTTGTGTTTTTGTTAATGTTATCGATCGCTTTCAGTCCTTATAAAGGTATAGGAAATACATATTAATATAATCAGCACATTTATTCTTGTGTAAATGCTATCATACGAGAAGGAACGTCCTCCCGAGTTTGATTTTGTTCTTAATTATGTATCGTCTAGTTTGTATTCACTTATTCAAACCCAACTTCAAAATTTCAGGTACATCTCAAATCTGTACATAATTTGATCAGCTATTGCATATTAGTTTGTCATTCAGATTGATTCTGTCATTGATTGTCATTCTGTCATTATTTATTTAATACTCTAATTATTCCATGAAACTTTTCGTCAATAAATATACTTCCGAACATTATTTCTTAAACGGGACATCAAATATAAATTTAGAAAGGCACATTCACATATAAATAGACATATATGCCTATGGGTATACAGCCAATATAAATAGATTGGTCTAATATATCTACAAAAACTTAAATACATTTAACCTGGACTGTACACATTAACCACACGATTTAAACGAATAGTCCCGAATGGTATTGGTGGTTCACTCTTTTCGGAAAAGGGTAGGGTTAAAACACCATTACACTAAAGGTAATAAAATTACCAAAAATGTGTTAAAAAAAAATAAGCGTAACAGAATGGTAACAGTTTAGAAATATTTCAGACAAAGAACGAATAGTAATAATTATAAAAAGGTGAAACATATACACTTTATATATATATGAATCAGCGAAACATACTACAGATTTTGTTAATACAATAAAATATAAATGAATTACAAATATATATATAAGATACATAAATCATTCAGTAAATAGATATGAATAGGGTTATCTACCCTTATAAAAACGAACGCGAAACAAAGGCCGTTTAATGTAGACTCATGCTACAATAAAGGCCAGGGAAGATAATTTGAAATCGTGGAAACCCTTTGGTAATCCAGGGTATAGTGGGCAAACCGAGGATTCCCTGGAGACGGATATCCCAGTAAGAACAACTGACCCACGTTTGCCTGGCTGACTCGACAGGATGGCAATGGATTTGAGTTTTCTTTCCCAGGTCATGCAAAATTATAAAGTATACGCGCCTTAAGTAAACAAAGTATGCATTGTCAACAACATAAATTCACGATTATTTAACAGATGGGCACAATTTGATTTATGATAAAGTTGACACACAAAACGTACATGTTAGTTACCTTAAATGTGTCGTAGAATATGCATATAAATTATAATCGCATGCTTTATATTCAAATTCAGCTATTTAAGTAAAGAGAGCTAATAATACTCAATAATATGGCCACAGATCACCAATGAATTCCCCATTGACTTTAATGTTAATTCTTGTCTCTTAGACCGGCTCTAACTTTTCCCAAATTTTCGTTGGGTAGAACGCTTTCTACCACAGATTGCTCAAAAGCACGTATGAGGTTCATCATGAAAAACTCGAGATACACAAACTGGAAGTAGAGACGTGCAATTTTCCGCCCTACATTTCTACCTATCCAACCACTTAACTCCTGTATCCTCAAAATCATGAATATTCACCAAACCTCGCAGAAAATGTATATTCAAACCCCTTTCTTCAATTCTACACCAAAAAATCAACAAAGATCGCAATGCAAAAGGGGGGGGGGGCTAAAACTAGCTTTAACACTTGTTTCGTGGGTGACGGTGTAGAAATAATAATTGGTAAGCTGGATCCATTTCTGTACTCGAACGGAACGTGAGGAATGGATACAGTCACAGATTGTGTGTGTGTGTGTGTGTGCGGGGGGGGGGGTCTTGTGGCGATTGAACCACGGACCATGAAACGACTGTGATAAACAGATTCATGTTGTTTAATTTTATTATAATTCATATTGACGTTTCAGCGATGTGTTTACCATTTTCCAAAATATATCTTTGTTGTCATTAACTTGCCATTTGATATAAGTAGTAGTTTTCAATAGAGCGTTCAGTGATTTACTCATATTAACTGCCGCTATATCCTCTAATAATACTACTACTATAGACTCTATACTCCTATCTATAACCAATTTCTGAGCTAAACTCATTTCAAATTGACACCATTTACTTTTAGCAAAATCATTGGACAAAACAACAAGAACTTTACGACTGTTCTCCATGTGTTGTACAATATTATCAATGATCAGTTGTCCACCAAGAAAATCTCTTTCGTGGATACATAACTTAATGTTTTCACCTTCTTCCACGATAGGTAGAAGATCATGTAAAACCCAGTCTCCATCTTCTACACAGTAAGCAACAAAGGCGTCATGAACAAAGTGTTTCTCCGCAATATCCAACAGCTGTTTAGGTCTGTGTCTCCACATATAAATATGATATTTAATATGCCAGATATATTTGTTGATAACAGATGTGATCAAAATAATACAGATAAAAACACACGTTACTGTTGTCACAGAGATAAACGCTCCAGTGTTATTCAGACAAATTCTCTCCGTAATATTTAGACATATATAGCCGTTTGGATAATGCCAAAACTTCTGTGGTTCGCTATGAATCCATTGAATTAACCAAACCAATTCACACTTACATACAAACGGGTTATCATTTAAAGCTATTGTTTTCAATCTTGTCCTCAACACCTCGGGCAACATTTTACTTGTAACGGTCTGAATTAAATTATATCCTGCATTTAAGTCCGTCAACTTTTTGTTTCTTTCAAAGAAATTATTTGGCCAGGATTTAATCAGATTTATGCCAACATGTAAATACGTGAGATTATGATAATGTCTGATGACAGTAGGTATTTTCTGTAATTTACATTCCGGCAGCAATAATTCTTCAAGAGATTTCAGAGGGGCTAAAATTTTACTTAGTTTATCCTCCATTTTAATGAAACTATTTTTAGCCAGATCTAGTTTTACTAACCGATCCAATCCACAAAATGCACGTTCATGCAGACGTTTAGTAGTCAATTTGTTACTTGATAGACTTAGAGTTAGAAGATTGCTGTTGTTGAACGCACATTCCTCTATATAAAATGTTCTACTCTGTTCGGAGATAGACAGCGAGCTAAGAGACTTGAAAGAATGAAAATAATCTGTTTTTAATGAGTCAATGTAGTTTAAACTCACATCCAGGTGATTTAGCTTTTCCAAGCAGTTTAAATATTCCGGATCGAAATGACCAATCTTGTTGCTTCCTAGAAGCAATGTTGTTAACTCTGAGAAGGAGTTTCGACGAAGACAAAAGTTTGGTAAAGCAGCCAAACTATTTCCAGAAAGGGAGAGGAACTTTAGCTTTTCCAAGCAGTTTAGATATTTCGGGACGAAATAACCAATCCTGTTGCTTTCGAGATTCAATGTTGTTAACTCTTGGAAGGAGTTGCGACGAAGACAAAAGTTTGGTAAAGCAACTAAACTATTTCTAGAAATAGCGAGGTTTTGTAGCTTTTCCAAGCAGTTTAAATATTCCGGAACTAAATTACTAATCTTGTTACGTTGTAGTTGCAATGTTGTTAACTCTGGAAAGGAGTTTCGACGAAGACAAAAGTTTGGTAAAGCAGACAAATTATTATTGGATATACAGAGGTAATGCAGGTAGTGGCTAACACCCAGGATGACGGTAGATATTTTGTTATTCGAAACGTCCAATTGTTGCAATTTTTCTATAGAGTTAAATGATGTCATATTAAGTAGCTTGATACTATTCTGAGATAAATCCAATGTTATCCTTTCCGGGGATTTAAAGTTAACAAAAACATTATGTGGAATATCTTCTAAGCGATTTCTTTTGAGACATATCTTGAAAAGTTCGCTATTTCTTTGGAAACTAGAGAATAAGTTCCTCAACGAATCTGAAGTGAGTAGATTATCAGCTATATCCAATATGCGAACCTGCGATAGATTTTGAAACACATTTTCGTCAATATTCTGAATTTCATTATGGCGTAGATCAAGGATTGATATGTTTGTGTTGGTAATGTTTAAAACTGTAGTTGGACCTAGCTGGGGTAAATGGTTATATCTAAAGTAGACTGATTTGGTGTTACTGGGAAATTTTGGAATATAGGTAAGGTTTGTATTATAACAGTGAACAATCTGGTGTGCACACCTGCATAATCCGGTTGAACACGCATCCTGACCTGCCACAGATGGCAAACAAAGAGCAAGGATAACAGCCAACATCTTACATGGATCTACCATTAAAACAATTTCCTGAAAAGAAATATATTTTGTTTTAGACGGTTGAAATAAAATGGGCTTTAACGCAATGGCGTGACGTTAACTTGTGGTTCGTTTGTTGTTCGTTATTGACCTGATATCGGGAGTGTTTTGTATGAGCCTAATCGGTTTATAACACGTCAACGTCTTGAGAAAAAGATTCTAACAAACTGTCTTTCCACCTGCCTAAATAACTAGTTGTTTTATATAGAATAGTAACGAACAACGAGCTAGTGTGTTGTTCGTTATTCGAGTTATTGTCAAGCTTGTGAACATGATAGAAATCAAATTCTTTGAAGGACCGGACCCCCCTTATCAAATATGATCAACATCCATGCTGTCTTTCGGATAAGCTGCGTTTTGGAAACTTTTATTTGTTTTGTCATTCCGAGTGAAATCTGTGAAGTTTTGCGGGTTAGTTTGCGTGTAGGTGATGTGGTCCTCCTACATTTACTATTAGGAGACGCTTTTAGCCAATGGCTAATTTAAAGGGCATTATGTAAGATTTAGATACAGAGATTACAGTTAATGACAAATGAATATATTGAATATTGCAGTCCAATAACGTAATTCTGAGCCGAGTTATTGTGACAAAGTGCTCCATAACTCGTATCATATTAAGATTATATTTTGTAAAGTATTTATTTAAATGCATAGAACCAATTTGAACTCCACATGTGCGAACCCATTGAACCCCATACGGTATAGATCTACGATATAAGATATACTGTCCACTACACGTCAAATACATATATACACGTTTTTAATTACGTACATAATAATTGTAGTGACAATGTTCTTGATTATATAGAATTTGCATAGTTAGCTATACGAGGGAATACACGACCCTGTGCTTCCTATAGTTAGAAGAGACGCAGATGAGAGACGAGCGGGGAGCGAAGAGAAACATTGACCGGCGAATGGGCTCATCCGATTTCAGCCACTGCCGAGGCAGAAGGGCGGAATGGTTGAAATATAGTCATATACTATATTAATGTACCGTGTTGACGTCATTATTTATGTCCCTGGTGTAGTTTAGTTTCTGTTTAATATTATGTTCCTGTTGTATTTACTAAACTGATATCTGTTATCACTAAAATAGTGAAACATTATTCGCGTTAGAATAACAGCTCGACTGTCATTGCTACACAAATTGTTACAAGTCTCAATTATCCATTTTTAAATTTGTTGAAAATCTGAAATATTCTATAGCATCAAGAGTTGGTTATGGTCTTGGCCAGTTAATAAACGATTGGCATTGCTACATACAGTTGTTACGGTAATACACAAAGTCTCGAATATCCATTTTATATTGAATTATTAACCGTCATTGGTATTTAGATCTGTTGAAAATCTGGAATATCCAATGGCATCCAGAGTTGATTATGGTCTTGTTCAGTAAATAAATGTCTATATGATTTATATAATGTTTAAGGGATAGAGAAAGGCCTGCAATAGACAGATTTAGCTTTTGAATAATACACCTTTAACTGTTTGCCAACTAAATAATGAAAAGGGGTAAAACGTCTCGTCAGTATTTTATAATTAAATGAAATGAAATGAGGTTTAACGTCCTACGGTTCAGCTTCGACAGGTTTCATTTGAGAAATGAAATGAAATGGGGTTTAACGTCCAACTCTTCAGATCCGACAGGGTTCATTTGAGAAATTAAATGAAATGTGGTTTGATGTCCAACTGTTCAGCTCCGACAGGGTTCATTTGAGAATTGAAACGAAATGAGAGTGGGGGAATTTTATTGTGGCATTACACTTCACCGAACTATATCTGCAAGGGGATATTGTGCGTGCACTGTACCACCATAAGGATTAAACATACTTTCATGACAAGTTAATCCCTGTAACAATGCCAAAAGTTAGTGTCGGTGAGTTAACACAGGGGTATAATTTACAATTGAACCAAGTTGTAGTTTGTTTGCAATGACATTTGTATTATTTACATTGTATAATACTGGTTTTATCTACAGACCTCATATTATGTTACAACAAACAATTTTTTTTATCTCACAAGGAAAAAAGGTCTGTCGTTGAGTCAAGTGAAGTGGTTTCGATTTCCCGCTTGTGGGTGACAAATTTATTGAAACAATATTGTCCTTGTTTGTGGCGAGTTGACGTTAAACCACATTTCTCTCTCAATTCAAAACATGAAATCCAAGGAAATAACCAATTTTACTTTTGCCGAAATGATAATATTTGTCCCATATCTTGCCATATTATGAGATATTTATATATTTCACTTACCTTTCAACATATAACAGGTGCCCGTTCGCTAACACAACCACAACATAACTGAGATGAGTAACCGGAATAGAAGATAAACAGTATTTGTTTTTTTAAAGTACTTTAAAGGTGCAGTGGGCTATGTACGATTTGGATAAATAGCTGACAGTTCTCGCTATAATAATTGTAAAATAGATAATGAAAAAGGACTATAATGAAACTTGAAAATGATTCCAAAGAACACGAGTCCAACGTAGTTATGGATGTTGATTAGACTAGTGTAGTCTGGGTTACCATTGCTATCATTGCTATGGCAATAAGCCCCGATTTCCGAATTTTAATTCAAACATAATGGAGATTGTGTTTCAATTCATTACAATCACATATCCGAAGAACTAGAGAGCTGATTATGGTTTTTTGTCATGTGAATCAATGTCTAAGTATTGTTTAATGGTCGCGAGACATTAAGTAATATATTGTAACAACAAGAGGGCCATGAGGCCCGAGTGTTTTTACAATATATTACTTAATGTCTTAAGGTCGAAACCATTAAACAACTTAAAATACAGACACTTGCACGTGCTTTGCAATGAAATACGTCACTCTGGTTCAATATTTTAACTAGTTACACTTGGCACATTGTCTGTACGATTATTTGAAATAATGGTACGCCATCATTAATGGATGACGTCACATCTGTATTTTAATAATGTATATATACCATTTGAGCCTAAAATAAAGGCCTGCAATAGGTAAACTTAGCTCTTAAATAAAATGGTCTGTAATAAGCAATAAAGTATCTTTAAAGTCATGATGTGTCATTTTAAACAGCACTATAAATCACCTGTAAACTAATGTATTATAAAAGATGAATCTATAATAGGAATGTGGTTCAATTTTGTTTTTGCACGACAATGTAATGATATGCCTGTTATAAAAATGATTGACTCCAAGCTGAAAAATTATCTAGTATTGGTCTTTTGATCTTGTTTTCTTACTTAAATTCTCTATGAACTTTCTCGGCCCACACCGGGATCGGACACCGGGCCATAATGTTAGTGATTCAACTACTCACTAACTAAGTCACCACGTCTCCCGATGAATGTATTTAAAATCTTCCAGGTAAGTTGTTACGCATAATTTATAAACCTTTACAACTAATCGAAACTAGGAAAGTTTAAATTCATCCTTATTGGTGATTCATCACCTGCTGATTTTTCCTGAAAACTTCGCGAATGACCTGCATATTAAAGATGCATTACGTAAGAGTTAAATCGGCCTATTAAAGATCTTTCGTTTGGTCACATGACAAGCCCATAATCAACTCTCTAGATCTCCGGGTGGGAGTGATTCTAAACAGATTGAAAAACAATCGCCATTTAATAATTAATGGATAATCGAAACTAACAGCGCTTTATCTACATCTTTAATCTTTCCTCATGCACTATGTTAGTGCTTATCTTTGTAACAACGAGGGGGGGTGGATGGCCGAATAGTTAGCACGTGCGCGCTGTATCACAAGGCCTGTCTTTGAGTCATCCGGTGTAGTTTCGAATCCCCGGTTCGGTTGTACATGATAATGAGTAGGGTCGCCTGTCCAATCTCGTTGGTTTTCTCCGGGTCCTCCGGTTTCCTCCCACTGCTAAACTCCCTACGCGCAAGCGAATTATGTAAATAAAATTAAACTATATGTTAGTCCCGAAATGACCTAGTTTGTGTCGAGTGGACGTTAAACCCAATTTCTCCCTCTCTTCGTAACAACGAACCTCTGTGATTCAGTACGGTAATAAAACCACCCATATTTAGCTAACGATGGCATCATTTTGGAAATAACATGGGTCGGGTTTTGCGTTTTCTGTTCTGTAGCACGGGTCAGTCGGGAAACAACTCACTAGCCATTCGACATTTTTGAATATTGCATAATTGTGATGGTAATTCAGAAATAAACACCAACTACGTAAAACTACGGGATTTATTTTTGACGCATGGAAATGAATGCATTCGCTTGACACAAAGTAAAATACTAATGAGAATGGGTGTACTAGCTTGATATCCAGTGAAATACTGAGGGAAATGGGTGTACTAGCTTGATGCCACGTCAAATACGGAGGGAAATGAGTGTACTAGCTTGACACCCAGTGAAATACTGGGGGTAATGAGTGTACTAGTTAGACGCCCAGTGAAATACTGGGGGTAATGAGTGTACTAGCTTGACACCCAGTGAAATACTGGGGGTAATGAGTGTACTAGTTAGACACC